CGGCCCCGTTAGTAGCAGCAGGACCCGGTGAGGGTTTGGCCGGGGGACCGAGGCCTGCCCTTGCACAACTGCCCTCTTCCTCCTCATCTCCTCCTTTGCTCGGGGTTCTCGGCGGCAGCGCCGTGACGAAACTTCGCTCAAAACTGGTTTTCCTTGCTCAACAGTTCAGGGAAGAGAAGATAAAACAGAAGAGCTTTGCTCTTCACCTACTCGGAAGAGTACGTGTCACCTTGCAGCTACGGGAAGTTTCACTGATCCTCCTGGTTTTGGAGTAACATAATATTCATTGGTTTTAAGGAAGTTTTGGTAATTGAGAAAGGGTCTGCAGTTGCCTAATTCCCGCTTTGTATTTCCACGGTGAGAATGACGTATACATAAACGGGTATATATATCTGTGATGAAATATACAGAAATACTGTATATTTCTGCTGCTCTGAAACCTTCATCTTCTGGCAAATTACTAGGGCAAAGTGCAGGCAACGTGAGAAGTTCGTCCTCGTGTAGGTGTGAGCATGTAAACCCCAGTGCTGCTGACGCGGGCGTGCTGCCCTGGTGCCGGCTTAAACACACGCTTCATGGTGCATTTCGTTCCGCTGCTGGGTTTCAGTGCCAGCTCCGGGCTCTGGCAGGCTGCGGGGTGCTCGGGGTTCTGGGGGATCAGCAAGTGTGTGGAGAGGTGGTTTGACCTGCGCTGGGCTTTTCAGGGTTGCTGTAAACCTCTCTGTCAGCTGCTGCAGTGAAATGGAAAGCAAGTGGCTGAGGGTTATTGTTAGAACACTGGGCGTAGATGTGACACTGTGGCATGTCACACCACACCGCGTTTTTGAGAGGTACAGGACTTCCTTTCCTCCTGAGTCAAGACTGCTGAGGAATCGCAGTGCTTACCTGGTTATAACTCGGAGCAAATGTTAGTGCTTGTGTCAATAAAAGAAAGCAACTGTTGTGCTTTTGCTATTTCTGTCAATACGTATTGCTTGCATATGTAGACTGAGAGTCGGACTGAAGAATATAATTATTACACTTTAGTAGGTCTTTTCATCTCTTGTCCTGTCATATTAACTCACTTATGCTTTAAATTTTCTTATCTTTGACCTTGTCTGTTTTCTTTCCTCATTACATTACCTGCTTGTGTGACTTACTTTATTCACCCCTCTTTTTGCACCTAATATAGTTCCTAGTGAACTTAGTGAAGTGAGTCCCATTAATTTGAAGAATAGAAGAACTGAGGCTGAGGTGGTTTTCTTCTTCACACTGTTGGCTTTTTCTAGCTTGGTTTTGTTTGTTTGTTTTTCCTCTTGTGCCTAACCACAAATTCCCTTGTGGGGAACTGGCTGGTTTTGTTCATCACATCCAGAAGATTTATCTCTGTAGAAGACCAAGGAATATTTCCCATGCTTCATTGATATGAAGCAATATTGTAGAGATAATAGTTATAGAATAGCTTTTAAAGATCATCTCCAGGAGCAGCCTATTTAAATGCTGCTTGTTCTGCATGCAAGCTTCGCCCATAGAGCTCTGGAGGAGCACAGCGAGCCAGGAATGTTCTTGAATCCAGTACAGTGCCAAGTGCAGTGGGGCAGTCTGAAACTTATTTCACACCAGTGTGATGAGGTTCCACTAAGAGGAAAGGTATCTCATGATGGAACTTGGCCTGCCAGTGCTCAGAAATGCATTTTGTGACTGCCCTGTTGCGTTAGCGCTGAACTCGCACATTCTAGATTCTGTTGAACTTGCAAAGAGTTTTAGGAGGAGGGTTGTGGGCTCAGCAGTAGTCTTTGCTAAGTGGTCCTGGAACTGTTGTAGTAAAATGGACAGAATGGAACTAGAACATTGTATTTGCACCTGGTAGTGTTTGTTACTTTAATTACCCAGCTGTGCTTGAGGTACCCACGGAGGGCAAGCAGAGTCATGATGTTAGCCTGGCTCGCTTATGTTGCACCTTCTGCTTTGCAAGGGCAATCAGAGAATGTCCAGACTTGCTACGCTTCATGGACTTCAAGTGCCAGTGACCTCTGAAGTGTTGAATACTATCGTATTGCACAAGGACCCTCACCCTGTTTCACTCCAATGACTTTACCTCAGTTTAAGACAATTTTTTGCCACTTATACCAGGGAGGCTGCGTAGACTGTTTATTGAATGCTGCTGAGAGATCCCTATTGCTGTCACACCAAAATATCACATGTTGGGTAACACATGCTCTGTTTTTGATGCTATCTGCTATAACACATGCACCTTGAAGCAGAAAAGGACCTCCCTTTTGGCAGTTCCCTGTGTTGAGATACATACAAATATTAGAAAACAGGAGAGTGTGGTGACAGGAGATCAAAAGTGTATTTAATAATGCAATATGTTTTATTGGTGTTGGGATGTGGTGGCTGATGAAACCACAGTCATGCTTTCTGTAACCAGACCAAGAAGCAATGGAACTGGCAGAGCAGAAGCAAAGGATTGATACTGGTGGGGAAATATGCAAAGCAATTGGGAAGTTTGAAAAACAGGGAAAAGTGAGCTATCAGTATACATCATATAGTGGCAAAAAAATGATGCTGTCTGTCCAACAGCAGAGAATAACACGTTTCCAAACCCAGCAGTTTATCAGGACAGCATTGTGCTTTTGGATAATAACAGTTGTTAGGAAAAGCTTGCTTTTGAAACTAAACAGACATAGTGTCTGCTCTCAGAAGATGGGGTTGAAGCTGTAGTTGTAATGTTCTGAAGAAAATAGTTTTCACTGTGAAATGCGAAACACTGTGCACAAAGCGATAGAGGGTACATTGGTTTTTCATTCAGATATATCGAATAGAATAACTTCTGTTTTCTTTTTAAGGAAAGAAGGCTTGTCCAAGTGTGGAAGATGTAAACAGGCCTTTTACTGCAATGTGGAATGTCAGGTATGGTAACACAATTTGTGAGGATGTTGGCGGGAAAGAGGGTGGGGGTTGCTGAGCTCCAAGTTTTGTTTATGTGGCAAGGATAGTCTCTAATTGTAGCTCTGGTTAATAGTAGTCCAGCCAATCTCAGCAGCCCCCAGATGCTGGCCATGGAGTTGTGCATTGGACAATTACAGGATTTGGACATGGTCTGCATGAGTCTTTCAAGATCAGTAGCTCCAGGGCTTGGTACCACTGAGACTTTGATTAGAGCTGCCTGTCAGCCCACTAATTATGTCTCTATTACTTCTTTCTTTAAGCACAAACCAGATGATTAAACATTAGCTCCCTATATTGGTAAGAGAGTCTGTGTATAATGGAAAAATCAAATCACTAAACAGCTGTCTTCAGGGGGTTTTGATGAGGGTTTTTTTAGACTTTGCAAATACTTTGGGTGGCCACAGCTGCCAGTGGTCAGAACCAGTTGAAACCCACCATACTTTCTCCCTACCTCACTCACTCTGGCAACTTTTGTCTTTTTTGTATACGTTGTTTTCTAAAATCTCCTGAAAACAGAATACAAGCATACACTGAGATAGAGCAATCTGAAGACATCCAAAATATTTGCATGCAGTTTTACTTCCGTTTTTACTTCAAACTACAATAAGCACCTTTGAAAAGAGTATTTTTTGCCAGAACTGGTATCTAGCCTTTGTAAGCTGTCAACTCGATATGGAAGAATTATCCAGTTTACTCAAGTGGATTGCTAGCTAAATCATGTAAGCTATGTAAGATCTGTGGTGCTGGGCACAGGGTATGGAGCAGTGCTCGTGAAGGGTTTGAGTCACCGAAAATCTGGCATGCAGCTATGTGTTAGCTATAAATAAGCCAAACCTCCTACATGATAGCATGCTGTTGAGTATGTGGGTTGCAAGCAAAGTGTTCTCCATTGTCATTATGTGGACAGACGCATTGTGGTTGTGTGTGTTCAGTTCCTGAGCACTTTGGAGATGGCTCCCAGTTTTATTTCAAGGGTGTATCTTGATCTCCCATTGCACAAGCTCCAAAGCTACCCTGGCTTCCCCTTAGTTTTCCTTCTCTTGCCTCCTCAGATTCCTGCTTTCCCACAGTGCCTTAGCGAATTGTGGGTGAATCAAATGGCCTTTTGGTTTTGAAGCACCAGGAGGACTCAAAATGCTCAGGAGAAATAAGTTTTTATTAAAATTTGCAGTAGTTTACAGAATATTGAAAGACTGAGCTTGGCATGGCTGGGAAGAAAGCAAGCACTTACTGTGTGAGCTCCTTAAGGCTCTGGAGAGGAATCCAGATGAGTCTCAGAGACTGTGAAGAGAAACCCCATGATTCATTCGTAAGAAATGCTTACTTGTAAGAAATGTTTCCATGTGACAGTATTTCTAAGGAAGCTTTTAACTAGATGAGGGAAGAATATACTTGAACAAAGCAATTTATTGTCTGTGTAGTGCTTTTTACCTGAAATTGTGAGTTTCTGTTGCCATATAAAATTCACAATGCCTTATGAGGCAGGTGAGGAAGATTTACTCAAGTAGGAAAGCTCAGTGATTTGTGCCATTAAAAATAGCAAGTAGATGTCATGGTGGAAGTAGTAGAACTTATTTTTGCTAATCCGTAGTCCTTTGCTTTTACCTCCAAGTCTCTTGGTGTGGAGTATGATGCTTTAAATATAAAGGCCTTTGTTAGATGTTGTGATGCTTGCACAATTATACGCTAAGCACAGGTACTAGCACTTCACTCTTACTGGTGCTGTGCGTGTGGCTTTTGACTCCCTAGCTGATATAACAATATTTTCCATGTTTCTGAGTCAATCTGATGAAATTTATGAATGTTGCTGAGATTGAATTCTTTGACATTCTTTCAAAGTTACCTTCAACCATAATATTCTCTAGAAACCAGTCTCCGCTGACTGTACGTGCTGCACAGACAACCTGCACTGCATCTTCATCCCTGTCTTGTTCAAAGGCACTTTTCAGCAGTTCAGCAATTCCTTGTCAAAGCCAAAAAGGACATTTGTGCCTTGATACTGAGCTTGTAACTCTGGGTTGTATATGAAGTATATTGTATGGGATAGAAACCAAATGTTTTAAGCTTACTCTTTTCATTAAAGATCTGCTATACCACAATTCATAGGAATTATTTCTAGTGGTGGGGAGAGATGGATCAGAAGGAAACAGGAGAAAGGTGCTGAAGTGAGCAGCAGGAAACATGGTTTTTCAATGTCTTTTTCAGCATTCCAGATTTTATAATTGTAGACATCTTCGTCTCTCTAGTCTGTTTGTAGAGATGTGTGTTGAATGAGATTTCTTTTCCTCCATCAGAATTCCATGGTTATTGAAAATGAAGTTAGTGACACTGCATGTGTTTCCCACTCTGTGGAGCCATACAGTATCCTTGTTTTGAGGGCACTTTCCAAGCATTTAATGAATGAAGCCTCACAGCAGCCTTTGTGGCCTTCCTGTTTCTCCAAACGGGGGATAGCTACGCAAAGATGCATTGGCTTGATGAAAAGAGTGCATCTCCTGCCATATGGCCAGGCGTTTGATGCATGGATCGTGTCCTGCTTTGCAGGGTAATTCCTTTGCCCTGGTTGCTGGGAAAAGTGGTGTCACGCTGGAGTGTGAGGGACTGAAACCAGGGGAAGACAAAGCCTTGAAGTGATACAGGGGCTGATTTGTTTAGGGCAATCTCTGTACGCATGTATTTGCACACATACTGGCCCTGGCACAGTTCTTAGTCATAACATGTCTTTTGCCTGTTCTGGTCTATTATTTTGCTTTTAAGATAACTAACCTTAAGTTTGGCATGTATTAAGCTGGATCTTTGCATAGGTGTAGATTCAGTCTCTGATGCAGGGCACGTGAGAGTGGAAGTTGTCTTCACTGCCTGTCCTTGCTGCCTTGGAATGTTCTGTGGATTGGTACAATCCAGCCTGGGTTTGCTGCCTCTATTTTCCCCAGCCCCTAATCCAGTTCTGCTTTTAAAAGGGTTTGTGATTTCCAGCTGATCCATACCGTTGTGCTCTTCACTCTTGCCTTCTCGAAGCACAGGCCTGTTATTATATAGTGGCTTTCAGACCCCATCTGCAGCTGTTTGGGTCTTGACTTCTTAAATTATAATAATTTTAGTGGAACAGTAGGAGACCTGTGCTCATTTTTTCTCCTCAGAAATTAGCTGCTGAAACACTCTGAAGGGAAACGTTTTAAGAGGGTTACGTGGTTGCAATTGTGGAATCGGTGAACTTGAACCAGCTACTGGAGCTCCTCTATCTGTTATTACACATAGCTATTATTTGTCCCAGACAGAGTGGAGATCAGCTGGACAACGTACAGAAAGAGATGTTTTTGTCATGGCTTTCCATATTTGAAATATATTTCAAACAAATATTTACTGTTTTTTCTTAACATGTCATGTTAAAGAGTGTTGTAGCTGTTATCTCTGGAGTAAGGGAAACGTATTTTTAACTAGAAAGTCTCAAAATGTAGTTGTAGACCTGCAGAATCAGCATCAAGCAGATGTGTTAGAAATGGGACCTTGTAGAAATTGCCCACTCCTCTTTGGTGAGCTGTAGAGAAAATACAAACTTCTCGCTGCAATAATCCTGCACAAGAGGGATCTGACACTGCAAGACCCTGCTTAAGATTGCCTTGGGGATGTGTCTGTCCCCCTGTCCAAAACCTTTCTCCATGTGATTTTCTTTGCTGAATGTGTCATGTGAACCATTTGAACACTAACCCAGGGAAGTCAAACATCCTCTGTGGCCCAGCATTTAGTAAATGATGGTAGGGAAGGATGGCTGTGATGAACTCATGTGAGACTCTTGCCTTCAGTGCTTCATGAGGACTCTGTCAGAGAACTTTACCTGTTAATACTGGGCATCAGAAGTTGCCTCACTGAAACTGGATTAAGGACTTAGGTGCCATTTGAGCATACTTGGGCTGTAAGCTGTTGAAGAAGTGGGTTTAACCCCTACACTCACTTGCCCAGCACTTCTGTCTGGTATTTGTGTGTGTTTGTTTTCCATCAAATGAAATAGAACAGAAGTTTTACATCCTATTGGAAAAAGTCCATCTGAGGAAGGAGGTGTGAGAACATCTGTTGGGACTTTAGTCTTGTTTTTTTTAAGCATTACGATTTTGTTTGGTTGGTTTTTGTTTTGTTTTTACCTGAGCTATATGACAGTGTTCTGGGAATGAATTCAGTAGTCCTGGATGGTGGAGTCATTTTGAAGTACTTGGTGGACAAGATGGTTTCCATGCTTCGATGTGAAAAGCGTAAGCTTAAAAGAACTTCCATTCCAAAAATGTTGTCATTCACTTCTAAATGACGGGCAAAAATACTGTGGATGTTATGAAAATAGGAAGAAAATATCATTAATGTAGCATCAAGGGTTCAACTAGAACAATGCTACTTGTTATAATTCAAACTACTTAGAGAAAAACGTGGAAAAGAATGCAAAGTACATTCCT